TGTTCGTGACGCCACATAATGGCCACCGTTTTCACTCGATGGATAACTTATGTAATTGACGTGCGTTGGGTATCTACCGTATGCACTGTATGCACTGCATGGGGTGAACCGAGTATGGCTGCAAGCTTGCATATAAATTTGCTGACACGACGAGGATGCGCGTCATGTGGAGCTTTGTTGCGTTGTTTTACTCGCAGCACTGTGCAAGTGTTGACGGGTCTGAGCACACAACTGCGAGGCTGTCGAACGTCAACTCTCAACGTTTGACGTGTTGCGAGGGCAGCGATGGAGGCCCACAACACTGAGAAAGTACTCAGAGGTGTCTCGCCATGAAGATGACCATAGGGAAGGGGTGAAAATCGTATTTGGAGGCAGTGCTGTGAAAGCGTTGCTGTGTTGCTGCACTCACAGCCGTTCTGCCGTATTCTGAGTGGGATATTGGATTCATAAATATTGAAACACCGCTCAAGAGGACCAAGTGAGGCCACAAGGTCATTATTGACGATTATGGTGGGCCTTCACGATCAGACTGAACTAACCGCATCATTTTCTTGGTCAACCCAAAAGACGCGGCCCCCACTCCCCCTGTGGCCCCAGCCGGCAGTACTTTCCCCACAGGGTCGTGGGCCCACGCGCTCACGCGCCGCGTCTCCCCCTTTTTCCCCATCCCCCCTTAAAGCTCACTCCCCCGCGCCCCCCCAGCAAAACAACACACTGCCAACACCGGCGCGAAGGCCGCACTCAAGGGGTCTATAGACCCCAATACTTGGGCGTCCGCTTCGAAAGCTGCGCCCCCTCCCGGGAAGGCCACAGGACGCCACAGGGCGCCACAGGACGCGACAGGACGCCTCAGGAGCGGCTCTGTTCAGTGCGCGGGTGACCGAAGACGGTCGCTACTGTGTATTCGGAGCGCCCGAGGGGCGCCATGTGGGGAGTGCTGTGGGCGGCATGCCTGGTGGCGGCGATCAGCGCCCAAGGTGAGGGGAGGCTGCGTTCCGATCGGCAGAGTGTGTGGAGGGCAGAACCCTTTTGGATGGATCGCCGGGGGCCCTCCTTGTCCCACCTGCCCTCCTTGTCCCGCGCCGGGCTCCACTGTGGAGAATGCCGTCATGGGTTCGCTTGCGTCTGAGTTGGATTTTGACCTCAAGTCGACGAGCGTGAATGGCTAGGTGGTGGTGCGTTCCGTTGCGCGGCCGCGCTGATTGTCGGGGCACGCCTGTGGCCGTCAGCGCGGGAAGTGTCCGAGTCAAGAACTGAAAAGAGATGAAAAGAGAACCGAGGCCTCGCGCTCCGGCGACGAGCATGCATGACATGCTTGGGGCGCTGTGTTGCGCGGCCGCGCCGTTTGTCGGGACCCCCTCTGTCCGTTCCGTTCGGGAGTGCATAAGTCAAAAACTCAAAATGGCGCTGAAGAGGGCACTGAAACCGTGTGCTGTGGACGGGAGCGTCTGGGATGCGCCCTCATTGGCCATGCTGCGCGACACCTTCGGGGCTTCCGCCCACAGCATCCGGTCCCTGGCCGTTGTCGCGGTAGTCGCGGATTGTCGAAGTCAAAGATTGAAAGATAGCTGAAAGGAGCTGAAAAGAGAACTTTGGGGAGCTGTGGAAAAGCGAGCTCGTGCTGTGGGAGGGAACGTCTGGGATGCGCCCTCCGTGGCCACGCTGCGCGACGCCTTTGGGACTTCGTCCCTGCGCCTGTTTGGTCCCTTGTCCGTTGAACCCACGGCTGTGAGTAGCGACCCTGAGCAGCCGAACTGCGCAGAACGGCGTTTCCCGGTTGGCTGTGCTGCGCCGCGGGTTGATGCAAGTCTTGGCCATGGATCTCAGTGGCGAGGAGCCCTGTGGCTACCTTGAGGTAATCGGGCTCGCTTGATCCACTGTCAGTGGGGACCACGGCTGTGAGTAGCGACCCCACGGCGTTGAGTTGCGCATCCCGGTCGCCCTTCTGCGCCGCAGCATGATGCGCGTCTTGGCCGGAGACCTCACGACGGGGAAGGCCTATAGTCACCTCACGTAGTTGCCTTGTATGCTTACCTTATATGGCTACCTTTGGGTTGATCGGGCGTGTTTGGTCCCCGGTCGGCTTGAGACCACAGCGGTGCTGAATGGCGTTGCCCGGTGGGCTTTGCTGCTCAGCGGCATGACGCCAGTCTTCGGAGATTTCAGCGACGGCGGGGCCATGTAGTTATCTTCGGGGTCATAGGGAATGAGGCCTTGATCTGGAGACCTTGGGGCGCGCGCTTGGGCCCCTGTCGGTTGAGCCCATGGCTGTAAGTAGCGACTCCCATGGGTTGAGTTGGGTTCCCGGTTGGCTTTGCTGAGCGCGGCATGATGCGAGTCTTGGCCGGAGATTTCAGCGGCAAAAGGGCCCTGGAGTTATCTTGAGGTTCATCGGAATGAGACCTTGATCTGAAGGCGTTGGGGGTTGGGCATGGAGCCCGGTGGCAGGGGTTTGCCGCACACTGTTGGGGGGCCTGCCGCGGGTGCGGCACGGTCGCCCTTGCCTTTGTCGTTGATCGGTTCGCGGCGCGCTGTGGAGCGTCTCCGCCGTGTCATGCACCCGTAAGCCCTCGCAGGACTCCCAAACGCGCGCGCAATTTGCGCAAATTCCGCCGAGCATGGCCCTGACAGTGGTTGTTGGGAGGGCGGCCCCCCCCGAGTGGTTGATCGCGAACGCCGGGGAGGCGTTTTCGTGTTCAGCCCCCGGCGCCTCAAAGTACAGGGCCGCCTGCCTCAGCCACTCGGCGGCCGTAGCCTCGACTGTGCGCGGCGTCCGTGGCTGCGTCGCGGAGGGGTCACTTTGCTTTGGCGGGGAGCGGCGGCATCCGATGTGCCTGTGCCTTGCTGGAGGCCGGACTTGTCGACCTGATCAGAGTGCTGTGACTGCACTGTGACAGCGCTGTGACGGTACTCTGACAGCACTGCTGTCGTACAACGGGGCTGCCCCATGGGCAAAACCAAAAATTCCGACTGGGAGCTGGGGCCGTGGCAGCGCTCCGTGCTGTGCACAACGCCGTACCGTACCATATTGTACCGTATTACTACCGATTTTCTTCCGGACGAAGTACAGCATATTGCATCGTGTTGGGCAGCACAGTGTCATACTGTGTTGTGGTGTATAGTTAGGGTGTATGTGCACGGGCACGGTGCATTGGTGTCTTGGTACGGTATGTGGTGTCGCCTGGGAATTCTGCATTGATGTCTTGAATATGTTAATGAACCCTTTTGGACCCTGTGTCCTCTAAGGGAAGTACGGAGGCAAGGATCAGTTTGCCATGTTCTTTGTCGTGGCGCATGTGCTGTGTTGCTCCAGTTGGAGCAGTTCCCATGCATCACTTGCATGCAAGGCATTTGGACACAATGTTCATGTGTTTTCTGGAATTCAAAACTGCTGTGGTGCTCTGCATCACAGAGGAGACAACGCAGATTGTTGCTCCATTCCATGCCTCATTGGCTCCGAGTTGGTTCCGTGGCAAACAGACGTGTCTGTATTTGCATACACGTACAGGCCCATGTCCATTGCCCACGGCTGTTTGAGATGTTCTTTGTCTCAATTTCAGGCGCTGCTGGAAAGGAGCTGCTGCAGGATGTGGCATTGTCTCCCGCCGATGAGCTCGAGGCCTTTCTGAATTCACCTGCAGGTGCCATTTTCGGGGGTGACTGCATAATTGAACCCTTTTCAGATGCCGAAGCATTTTCAGAGGCCGGCGAGAGCATTGCCGAGGCTGTGGCTGAAGCGTTTGCTGACAAAGGCGATGAGTGCGAAAACGCAACTGCCAGAGCAGAGGTAAGCAAAGCAACCATGTCACATACTATGGCACACCCATAGTATGTGAAGGATTACTTGCATCGAATCGGCCTTGCAGTGTTTAGGAATGTAACTTTCATGCATCATAGGTGGGGACAGAGCAGAGAAAGGGAAATAATGTTCTGGTGGCAATGCGTCCATGCACACTGCTCCAACTTGCGTCCATTAGCACCATGTAAACAGCTGCAGCTAGCCAATCCTTCATGAAGGCAGTGTGGTGTTTTGTTTTTAGATTCCAAAATAGCACATCACAATTCAGTGTGCAGGTGCCTCCCCCATCCTGGGCAGAGGCCTTTTGTGAAGACAGTGTTTCTGCTATGTTGGACACAGGCGCAGGCCTTGGCCGTTTCGGAGGTGGTGGCAAGGGCAGGAGCCAGCACAAGAGTTGAGGTGGAGGGGGAGTGCAATGACGATGACGTTGGCAAGGCGGTTGCAGCTGCCGTGGGCCAGTCAGTTGCTCTGGCGGAGGCCTTTGCGGAGGCGATTGCAATAGCAAGGTCAAATGGCACAGAGGTGGCCAACGTTTCGGTCATGGAATCAATCGAGGTGAGGAGCATTGTTGTGGCTTGTAGGCTGAATGGCGTGGCAGAGGTGTGGCAGATGGCGTGTGCATTGAAAACAGGAAGGACCATTTTTCTGGCAAAAATGCATGGCCTGGAATTGGATGTATGGCCTTCATGGCTTTGGGGCAAGTGGTCCCACTTTGCCAGCTCTTTCCTTTCCTTGTTGTTGGGATGTATTTTGATGCGTTGAGCATTCATGTGTGCACCTGGATAAGGGCCGTTTCTGTGCCCTGATCTTTTTGATCTGCTGCTTGAATGCACAGCAGTGCCAGAGCCTGTCTTGTCGATGTGCAACAAAATCCAAGCTGAAGGAAAGAATGATGAATGTCTTCTTCCTGGCTGCTGCACTCAGCAGAGACACGTTCCATGTTGAGCGTGTCCTGTTTCACATTGCCATAATGTTTGTATCCATTCATTCTTATGAATAACTGGTAATGTACAATCTCAAGCAAATGCATGCCTTCGTTCTTGACAGAATTGTGTGGCTGGACAGGAAGCATTTGCAACGGTGATAGCCGAGTCCACCATGATAGTCAGGGGCGGCGAAAACGTGACCGAGGGGGCCTCCGACGAGACAGTCATCCAAACAGCCAGGGTGGTTGCTGAGGTGATGGTGGCTGTGTCACAAGAGCTGTTCTGCACAGAAGATGAGATTGCAGCCATGACCTTCTTGCCAGCGCCTGTGCAGGCACCTGCACAAAGCCCGGAATTGGCACCGAGTCCTGAATCTGTGCCAGGGCCGCAATCAGCCACATCCCTTGAAGAGGAGATCGAGGATATGGCTCCTTCACTGTCAGTGCCTGCGCCATCACCTGCACAAGGGCCTGCACAGAGCCCACTACCAGTGTCAGCCATAATCGAGGAGATTGATGCCATGCCTCCCTCCCTGTTGGCACAGTCTTTGTCACCAGTACAGGGACCTGCTCCGAGTCAGCTGTCAGAATCATCACTAGAAGAGGAGATCGAGGACACTGTTCCCTTGTCACCAGCCCCTGCACCAGGCCCACAGTCAGAGGCATCATTGGATGAGGAGATAGATGCCATGCCTCCTTCGTTGCCGGTGCAGACGCCTGCACCAAGCCCACAAGTTGAGTCATCCCTGGAAGAGGAGCTTGAAGCCATGGCTCCATCACCATCGGCACCTGCGACCGCACCCATCATCCCTCAATCTGAGGCATCCCTGGAAGAGGAGCTTGATGCCATGGCTCCGTCACCGTCGGTCCCAGCGCCTGCACCAAGCCCACAATCCGAATCATCCTTGGATGAGGAGATTGATGCCTTGTCGCCATCCCCTCTGTCGTCGCCTGCACCTGCGACCGCACCCATCATCCCTCAATCTGAGGCATCCCTGGAAGAGGAGCTTGATGCCATGGCTCCGTCACCGTCGGTCCCAGCGCCTGCACCAAGCCCACAATCCGAATCATCCTTGGATGAGGAGATTGATGCCTTGTCGCCATCCCCTCTGTCGTCGCCTGCACCTGCGACCGCACCCATCATCCCTCAATCTGAGGCATCCCTGGAAGAGGAGCTTGATGCCATGGCTCCATCACCATCGGTCCCGGCGCCTGCACCAAGCCCACAATCTGAATCATCCTTGGATGAGGAGATTGATGCCTTATCGCCATCCCCTCTGCCGTCGCCTGCACCTGCGCCAAGCCAGCAGTCAGACGACTCATTGCTGGAAGAGGAGATCGAAGCGATGCCTCCATCAGTGCCAGCTCCTGCACCTGCACCAAGCCTGCAATCAGAATCATCCCTGGAAGAAGTTGATGCCACGGCCCCCTCACCTTCAATGCAGGAGCCTGCACCAAGTCCGCAATCCGAGTCATCCCTAGATGAGGACATCGATGTTGTGGCCGCCTCACCTTCAATGCAGGAACCTGCACCAAGTCCGCAATCCGAGTCATCCCTAGATGAGGACATCGATGTTGTGGCCGCCTCAGTGCCAGCACGGGCACCTGCACCAAGCCCACAAACAGAATCATCCCCAGACGAAGACATTGATGCCATGCCTCCCTCAGTGCCAGCACAGGCGCCTGCACCAAGCCCGCAGTCAGATTCATCCCTAGATGAGGATGTTGATGCCATGCCGTCCTCGGTGCCCGCCCCGGCTCCATCATCAGCACAAGGGCCTGCCCAGACCGCGCGATCAGCACCCTCTCCACAATCAACATCATCTCCTCGATCTGCGCTGTCCCCGGGAATGGCCCCAGGCCTGAAGTCGCCAGGTCCTATAGATCAGGCAGAGCCGACTTCGGTGCCCAGGCCCGCGCCAGCACCTGGGGCGGGGCCCACGGCAGGAACGGTGGCGGAGGACGGGGTCACAACGCCACAAGGTAATAAGCCTTGCTTCTCTCTTCTGTTGTATATGCCCTGCTGTATTTGCATTTGCATTTGTATTTGTATCTGTTTTGGTTTTGGGTTGTATTTGTCTTGGGGTTAGTATCTGTATTTGTATCTGTACCTGTATCTGGACCTGTATCTGTATCTGAACCTGTATCTGTATCCTTATCTTATTGTGATCCTCTGGTGCCGGTGGCATCAGCCCCATTCTAACCCGTAGCCTCAATTCGATTCGTACCCAGACTTGTCCAGGTCCGAATCCTAAATACGAAATAAACCTAACCGCAGGTGGAAAATGCAACATTCGCTCCACATCCGCAACTAAACCCTGACCAAAATCTGACCCAATGATCCGATAATAATAATCCGACAATCCGAATATCCAAATAATATCCGAATGTAGTCCGAATGCCATCCAAACATTGATATTCCGATTTACCCCAATCTTTAGCCGACCATAATCCGAATATAGAATCCAAATAATGGTAATCCGTTCATCTGATAATCCAACAATCCGTACATCCAAATAGCATCAAAATGCCATCCAAACAACGATACTCCGATTCACCCGAATATTATCCGAATATTGTATAATCCGAACAGAGAATCCGAACAATGGCAACCCAGCAATCCAACAATCTGATCGGAAGTCGATGTGCATTGTGCTCCAGATAGCGGCAGCGGCCAGCTGCGAGCCATGCTGCACGCCCTGTGGTCTCCACTACTGGCGTACTGCGTGATTGCCGCCCTGATGTGAAGAACGGGAGAGCCTTGGGGCCCAGTGGGGCGCCGCAGCGAGTTTCAGCAGAAAGGATGAAGGAATGGACGCGTTTTTGAGTTAAGGGCGGCGCCCTCCCTAGTTAAAGGTTGCTCCTTTTACTTTAGGTCGCGCCTCGCGGCGCCACGCTTTTCTGACAAGAATTAAGCGCCAGTTTGTGGGCAATTAAGAGTCATTGAATGCCGTTAAACGTCACTGAACGTCGTTAAATGGCTATTAAGCGTCATATAAGCGTCAGTATAGGGCGCGATGGGGCGGTCGGCGCCGCGGCAAGGACGCACAAAGGCAGGCGTTGGAAGCTTCCAACGGGCCTTGGGGTCCAGACAATTGGACAATTGCACCTTATGGTCTAATGCTCCGGGTGAGTCCATGGAGTGGCGCCGGAGCCGTTCGTCAATTTCAACAAGACCCGGGGGCGGCAAATTGACTTGATGGGGATTCTTTGGGTGGCGGGGTGGCCGCCGTGGACGCGGTGGACAAATGTTAGTCACTGCGAGGCCGTCCGGAAGCTTACTGGAAGCTGGTTGGAGGCTGACTGGAAGCCGCCGGGGGATGCGCTCGCTGTTTGACGAAATAAGACCGTCTGTTTCGGATCGTGAAAATTTATGGTGGCCTTCTGCAGCGGCCGGTCGTGACTGTGCCTCGCGCTGTGAGCGCTGGCTTGTGTGGGAAATCTCACTGGCGGCATTTTTATGGAACAAAGTGGTGCAAGGCTCAGTGATTTGTCTGCAAAGACAGCACTGCAGTACTTTCTGTATTAAGTTCTCCACGAAGAGTGTGCGCCAGACGCGCAGGTTTGAGAAGCGCCCTTTGGCATGTTCCCTGTGGCTGGGAACGACCATCTGGAATATATTTCCAGTAAGAGTTTGCACACGCACGTACTGTAAAGTGCCAAGCCTTGTGCAACTTTTCCTCATAGGAGCGATCTGGCAGCCCGACTGCATTCATGGCAGCCAGTTCAGTGCACCCTTTGGTGTACTGACTTGTTGCCTCGACTGTACGCGTGGCTGGAATGGAAGATTCGACACAGCCCAATGCCGCAGAACACATTCAGCCGACTCTCTTGGCCCAACGAGGGATGCAACGAGTTCTTTACCTGGCGCGGGAAACAAATACGAACTTTGGGGCGGTTCACCCCTTCGTGTGCCCGGCATACATGCCCAGCATTTGGCAAATGGCAACGTCCGGCCCGTGGCGCGCTCTCTCATTCTTTGCCGTCACACTTCTTTCTCACTGGGGGGCAACATTGCCGCCCAGTGGGTGCATCAATGTGCACATACCAAACTGATGCGCGTCTTCTTGCCCACAAGAAGCGCCACGACTGAAAGAGCGGAAGGAGCCTGGGCACTGAAATGTGAGGTTATGTTTTGGAATACAAAACAACAACAAAAAAGCAACTGAGAGATGAGCATCAACACCATTTGAGGAAAAGGGTGGCACAGCCAAGCACTACAAACCTTTGTCCACAAGTGGGACATCGTTTCCGGACGTTACACATTCTTCTGATCATCATTACCATCATCATCATTACAATCATCATCAAAATCACAGTGGTAAACATCATTCACTTGGACATGATCTTCTCAAGCGCCGCCCACAAAATCAATCCCCATTCCGCACACATCGGCATTGACGCTGCTGCACTGCAGCCAAATCGCAACCCTTCGCGCTGGGGTACGCCAGACCCCGCTTGGCGACGGTTCAGTTTTGGGCCTCGTGGCGTTTTTTCTTCTTTTTTCTTTTTCCTCTTTTTTCTTTTGTTGATTCCACAATTCGTTTCTATCCGCGGCCCTTCCGCAGCCGCCGGGTGATGCTTCCCAAGAGGTTGACCAGCTGCACGACATCCACGGTGACGTCAGCAATTCCGGCCGGGTGCCCAAAGTACGCCCTCCGGTTTCCTGCTGACGTCATGACTATTATTGATTATTATTGGTTACATATTGGACATGGTAAATGGTGCCCACCAAGCCCCGAAAACGAAGTGCTGCAAATGAACAACATGGCAGAAAACAAGAGCCTACCTTTGCAAAAGTTTTTAAAGAACAGTAAACCCCTTTGCACAAATTGGAAACATTAATCTGGCAGTTAGTACGTGAAGCAGTACTTCGGTTTACTGACCCCCCCTTGCGTCAATTGGAAAGTTAACCTGGTGGTTCGTGCTTGAAGCAGTACTTCGGTTTGCTACCACTGCTGCCTTCGAAGCAATACATTATTGCCCAGCTGCTGCTGTACTTGAAGCAGTACTGGCATTAGTCGTGTACTTACAGGTAACGAGCCCAATTCAGCTGCACAGCTAGTTGCACCCCACTCTGCCCAATTGGGGTAACTTCAACAACGAAAGTCTGAAGCTGCACCAACAAGTACTACCAAGCATTGCACATGGTGTTAACACGCCCTACGAGTATGGTGTTCAGTATTGGTGTTAACACGCCCTACGAGTATGGTGTTAGGTATTGGTGTCAACAAGCACTGCAAGCGCTACCGGCTGCACCAAAACATTTTTAATAGAGTGTTTAATGCTCACTCTGAATCTCCAGCTTATCTTATATGGCTGACCCTCGGGAAATGGCAAACCCTTTCCGACGGCGTAGAGCATGCCGAACGCGGCCCCCAACCCGCCCTGATTGCCCAGCCTCTGCAGCGCACACAACACAGAAAAAGAAGTCAACATCACGTCTCGCAAAGCCTCTTTCCAGTTTTTGATATGAAATTGTTTGATGCTGATCAAAAATGCACAAAAAATCGAAAAAAGCAAGAAATGGCAACAAATACAATTCCAAAGTCATAGAGCATACCGAACGCGGCCCCCATCCCGCCTTGATTGCCCAGCCTCTGCATGAAGGACAGATAAATCAAGAAGCTTTTTCACGAAAAGCACTTTTCAGTTTCTGATAATAGAGTATCTTTTGTCTTGCAAAATGCAAAAGGAGCCGCCTGAAAGCAAGAAACGGAGAATAAAGAACACCGTGCTGACGCCAGAGAGCATGCAGGGATCGGGCCGCAACCCTCCCTGGTTTCCCAGCCGCCGCGGCGCACAAAGCACAGAAAAAAAAAGGCGCTTCCCGAAGAGCCTTTCTCAAGTTCTGATAAGAAAATATTTTCTGAATGTCAAAGAAGCGCCACAACGCAGAAAAACGGCAAACAAAACACAATGAGCACCATTTGAGGCAACGCAGGCACAAGGTCCAGCCGCCAAGTACTGAGCATTGTGCTTGGTCTGCTCCAAAGGATGTCCAACCGAGTGGTGAGTGATGGATGGTGCACATGTGAAAAGTGCCTCTCCGCCATTGTCCTCATACCAAGCGATATGCATTATGCTTCGTCATAGGAAATAAGTGTTTGTCAACTAGCCCAAACACAATGTACTGAAGAGGCATGAATGACAACTTGAGCAAAGCATGCAAGTGAGCCCACAACTCTGCATATTGGTGCCTAACATCAGGGGCTGCTGCGCCAGCAGAACACTAAACGTTTCACACGCTTTGTGTCCCTGCTTAGCCAATTTGAATTAAATCAACTTCTTCAAGTACATTTACAATATCTGACACTTATAATAGCTGTCAATGATAAGCAATGCAGCTTTGACCAAATGGCACCAACCCAGGCCATCATCAACGTGTTTCGGTCGCCGCGTTTTACCACTGCCACAGAGCATTTTCGAATTTATCAGCTAGTTTACTCCATTAAAAATCCTCGAAATCATGGAGCTTAGATTGTATCTCGGGAAAAGTGACACAAGGCTGAGGGCTTCGGAGTGCTCGCTTGCACCACTTTTGCAAAAAAGGGCGGTCAAAAGTTCACCAGACAGTGTTGTACATTCAAAACTCTAGACACTCTGAAATCTAAACCTAATGCTCTATCCTGGGAGAAGTGACACAAGGCTCAGTGCTTTGCAGTCCTTGCTATCACCACTTTTGCTAAAGCGGCGCTTGAAATTCATCAGCTAATTTTGTCCATGCAAAGCTCTTGAAACTTTGGAATTCAAACGTATCAAGTTCTGAGTCAGTAGTCTTGGAGTTAATTGAACTGGCAAGCTCCAACACCCGCATCACCCCTCGCAGGGCTTTACCTTGTCCTGCACATATCCAACTGTCATGTCCACAATCTTGCCGCCTTCGCTGAATGTGAAGCTGCTGTTCTGCGGAGGCGCGTCGGCAACCTGAAAGAAAAGTTTCACTCGTTGTGAAGCCAACGCATTGCGCTGCATCGTGACACATTTCACCATGTATGCATTCGTGGACAAATACGCTGCTGCATACACTGCTGTATAGACGACGAAATTATGCTGCGGTGTATACTGTTGCATGTGTCGTGAAAGTATGCCGCTGTGTATGCTGTTGTATGTGCTGCATCAGCTTTACTTCTGAACATCGCCACGATGTATCCAAGCAAGAGGTTGTGCACGTGCAAGAATTGCATCACCATTTGCAGCACTTTAAGTTCAGGCAATATGTAGATTCGTTTTAGCGCATTGGTTTCAGTCAATTCCAGTTGGTTTGCTAAATTTTCGTTGCAATTCATCTCACAAAAAGTCATTCTGCTCCAAGGTGGTATTGCACTTGCTGTCTGACAGGCAAAAAACAAAAGCAATGAAATGGCGATATCACTGCATGCAAAAGTATCAACCAAAAGTAACGATGTAACAATGATATAAAAAGCATAACAGGTGAGTATCAAAGCAGCGCACAATGTGATGTATACAGCAGTACGTGCCAGGAATACACCAACACCGAAGCTACAACAAGCCGGGCACTTATGACTGCGCGATGATGAAGATGGCAGTTGTGGGGGCACAAAAGAAATCACCAAATGGTAAAGTGGTATATGATGCTTAATGGTGCAAATGGATACGGTGAATATGGTGCTATGTCATGGTGAAATGTATTTGGGGACAATGGAGACAGGAGATGAACATGCTTGCAGTGTGGGTTATTTAGTCAGTACCTTCATCCTGTGATGCATCTGTTTACGGCATTGCTTCCCGTGCCTGGGAGCGAACATGTGAGGAACCTTTGCTTCGTCATAATGGTGCTAGTCATGGCCACAAAAAATAGAAGGGTAAAGCCATCAACATGACTATAAAACCATTAGCCACAGTGCATGTCATTTTCCAGTTCAAAGTGGGTTTCATGGCGTTCACAAATGTGTTGAACAGGGCAGCCCCAACTCCATGCCTTTAAGTCGCACTTCGCAGCTAAATAAATTCAGCAATTAACGATGGCCGCAATTTCATCAAGAAGTTTTTGCATTGATTGGGGAAGTGCGAGCGGTGTTTTGTCTTTGATTGGAACGTTTCTTCATCTCGTTTTCGAGGCTGCCATTTCCTGCGCAATGGGCCCATTTCACCAATAAAATAAAAATGCCATGAATGAGAAATGCCAAACTGTGCACATTTTACCTTGTTTGTGGGTTCCCCACCCATCAGCGGGCCAGTATTGACGCCCCAAGACCTGCACCCACAAAAGCACGATCAGTCGAGATGGCTGTCGAATAACTGAACACGACCAAGGGCATCACAGTAATATCATTAAACTGCGTTAAAACTGCATTGACTGCATGAATTTCGGACTGTGCTAAACCGAGTTGACTATCCATGACCAAAGATATCATTAAACTATGATAAAACTGCATTGACTACATCAATTTTGGGGTGCGTTGAAAGAGTTACTTGTCTGTGACCAAAAGAACTGATCACCACTATCCACGACACCACGACCCAGCACTATTCGACTCCCTTTGTGACTTTCCAAGCATGTCCACTTCAACCGACTCAATCCAGCGTCCAAATCTCGCCAATGTCCAATGATCACGAATCCGTGTTGTGTCTTGCATAACAAGATACCTTGCAAACATATATCTAAAAAGCAGCGTTGTACATTGTCAACACATGAGCACCACAGCAAAACGATAGCCACAGTCGAATAGGCTCACATGCGTATGCGCTCCACATTTCAGTCCTCGACATCACAGCACGTCGTATCGCGTCGCATCGAATCACGTCACATCACGTTGCATCACGTCATCGCAACGTCCTCAATACAGCCTAAAGCTGGCAACACGCGCATCGCTACTAGGACCGCTACAGTTATATTATTCCCGGCACAGAACAGGCCCAGGGTTGCGATACAACACGGCAGGGCTGAATGTAACACGAGGGTCCAATGGAACAAACAGGATGGATGTTTCCGTGCCCGCCAAGCGTGAAGGCGCTGATCAACACGGCCTCTGCATTAGATAAATAATTGAATACATGACTGCATGAATGAATGAATAAATAACATTATTATTATTAATAATAATAGTAATAATAAATAAATAAATAAATGATCTTCACACGTACCGAGACGTGAACCACACACGGCCAGGCTGGTACGGGTCCACACGGAAGTGGTAGATGCACGGCTGCAGGTCCGGGAACGCTTCTGTTAGGCCGAAGCCCTTGAAGGCGGTGGTGAATTCCGCGTAGCTCAGGGGGCCCACCACAGGCGCGTTGAAGGTGAACTTGTCGGGGTCCACCAGCTCCTCGTCGGTCAGGTACCGGCCGCCGTCCAAGGCGTACTTGGCCTTGGCGATGAGGTCGTCCGGGCTTATGGGGAATCCCATGTCGGCGATGAGTTTCTGGGGGCGGACCAGGCAAACGGGCACAGGCAAGCGGGCGCATGTCAGCGAGAGACAGCACTGATTGGTGCCAAAATTGGTGCTAAATTCAATGCTAAAGTCTTTCTAAAATTAGTGCCAGAGTTAGTGCCAAAGTAGTAGCCCTCTTTTGGGAGGTGGACCAAGCTGATGGGGAATCCAATCTCGGGGATGAGTTTCTGTGCAGGCACAGGCAGGCGGCGAAAATGGCGCCAAAATATGGTCAGGTTCGCACGGATTGAACTAATCAACGGAGTAACAAACAAACTTAACATGGCCAACTAGCTTAACAGAATAATTAACAAAGTTCGTTTCAAATTTCATTGCGATGTTGTCGACAATGAACGTGTTTTTGTGGCATGGTTTGCGCTGCTGGCGAGCTAACTTCAGTCGTTTGAGGCGACTTTACCGCGGGCTGAGGTTGTGCCAATGGTCAATTACTATGCGGTCCACCTGCGACTAAGTGCCTACATGCAAGAATGTGCGCACTTTGTGACATGCTGCGTACATTACCTACAAATTAGTCATGACTGCAACTAAACATCACAATTGTTAAACCATCACGGTTGTCAGCACTTGCAATTGACTGCAACTGCTTGCATGCAGTTCCTTCAGTTATGTGACAAGTCTATGTGACTGGTCATCTTCATGCCGAATCACCCAAGCCCCATGGTGCAAATTTTGGTGTCATATTTCACCAGTAGAGGCTGCGCACCTCCTCGTCAAGAAAGACGCCCACCGCTCTGTCCGGCTGTGGAATATCAGTCGCAGCTGCCTTCATGACCTGAGCGCATTCCAACGTTTTTCTGTGAATTGCTTTTCGAAATATTGAAGTCCAATTCGGTGCCAACAGCAGCAACAAGGCACCTTCCAGATGTGAAGACAGGGTATTTTTGTACAGGTTTTCAGCTGAGGCCCATACACAATAGAGTTGGCACAACGTGCATCAACTGTTTGCTTGGATCACGTTTTCAGGGCAATTTAGTACAATCAAGTATGTAAAGTACTGAACCTTATGTCACCTTTCCCCAAAACAGAGTTCTGGGGTGCAGCCACTTGGCTTGTAGAACTATCCAACCATGATACCCATGAGTACTTCTCTGGAGAACAGGGCAGCACTGGGAAAGAACAGACTGCAGATGGATGTCGCAACTCTGCTGCACTGGTCGTTCTCCATGGGAACTTTTAAGCAGCAAAATACTGTGCTAGGAGCAAACAAGCTGGAGCTGGTTGGATGCTGCAACTATGCAGTGCTTCCAGAGAAGATGACCAATGCATCAAGGACAGGGGCTTGTGCGGAAAACAAATAAACTTGAGATGGATGCTGGAGCTCTGATGCCTAGTCGCCATCTGTGGAAACCATGAAAATAACGAAAGAGGAAACAGAAGGGAGAGAAAAATAAACAAAGTCAAAAAGAAAAGAAGTAGAAGGCAAAGGAAAGAAGGACGGAAAAACAAAGAGAAAACACAGACAATGGACTGGGCAGCTGGAATGGACAGAATTGAGTTGAGCGATGCTGCAGCCCTGGTCGCCTTCCAATGGGGCAAGCATTGCACTCTATCTGCATCATCCACAAGGTGATCAAACCCCTTCCTTCTAAGTGGGCAAACATTCAGCTCACAACAGCATTCGCTGATGGCTAACTTGACCGACAGAGTGTTAGTCACCACAATCCCCCCTTTCCTGGCCATTCCCCTGCATTTCCACCAGGAGGCAGTTCTTTGTGATTCTTATCATGTTCATTCTTACTTGTCCTGCTTTTCCTACTTATTTATCATACTTTTCTTATCTGATCATGTTCGTAGTTTTTATGGACTTCGCTGCCATGCGGGTGGCCCTGATCTGTCAGCCCAGGACTTGCCCCGCTCCCCATTGGGCCGCTACTTGCACGCTCACCCCAACCGGTGCCTGACGCACGCTTTATATGGGTTTACGAAAGCATCTGTGCCTTAAAATTAAAGGTAAAATTGAATGACGGTGCGTCTCGACTTTTACCTGGGAGTGGCAATGCCCCCGAGCCCCCAGGGCCCCCGAGCCCCAGGGCCCCTGAGGCCCCAGGCCCCCGCTAGGGCTGCGTACATTGTCATAAGCCATCCCATTTATATGGTTATAAAGACATCTGCGCCTCAAAATTGAAGGTAAAATTGAACGACGCGTTGTCTCGGCTTTCCCAGGGCGTGGCGACCCCCTGGGCCCCCAGATCCCGCCAAGGCTGTGTTCGTCGCCAAGAGCCATCACATTCAAATGGGGATACAAAAACATCACCACCTTTAAAATTAAAGTTAAAATTGAATGACGGGGCGTCTGGGCTTTCACCTGGGAGTGGCGACCCCCCCGGGCCCCAAGCTGCCCGCCAAGGCCGCGTTCGTTGCCCAAGGCCATCCCACTTATATGCCTGATGTGGGGTTAAAAAAGCATCTGCGCATTCAACATTAAAGGCAAAATCGAACAAAGTGGCGTTCCGGCCCCCCACCTGCGGGTGCCGATCCCGCCGCGGCCCCAACCCCCTCTTCCCCACGCCTGGCCCGACGGATGGCCGAGGTCCGCATGCGATCGGGCCCTTCCCGCAGGGCGCCAGGCGGTTGGCGATCGACGCCATCGAGGCGGAGGCCGAGGTGGGAAAGACAGCCCCAGCCGGGGAGCACAAGGCGGGCCAGGAGGAGCGGGAGTGGGGTGGGGTTGTTGGCCAGGCGCCAAGTGGCCAAATATGCGGTTCAAACGACGGAATTGAAGGGGCATCATTGGCGGGTGCTGGTCCAATGTCCTGGCCAATGTCCAGGGCATTACCGTGTTTGCGGCCGGTGTGTTGTTCTAACTAGAACTGGTTGAGTACTTTTAACAGCTGGACCCCATGAAGAAGTGATGAGACACTAGGAATTGCACTAAGGGCTGTTCGGGTCGCCAATTAATGGGGCTCATCGAAAAATTAGGAAACTAGTGATATCACTCAGCTGGCGACCCTTGAGGTCCAGATATCGTATTTACCATAATGGCGCAAAGGGGATGTCGACAGCCTCAGCACCTTCGCCACACTGATCATCATCGAGCAGGTTGGCGCTCAGCGAGGTGGGAAAACCATAAGTCATCAATCAGGCGTGCAACCGAATTCTCAAGGCACTCAGGACGCAGGGAGATCACCTGGATGACTGCATCGCACGCCCAAAACGTTCACCAGGATATTGTAAAGATGCTGAGCACAACGCCAGTACGTGGCAGCGCATCACACGGAGATACATGAGACAGACACGCCCGGAAAACACCTTGGAGTACTGAGGAGCACCCAGGCCGCCATTGGACGAGTGGATTTGCTTAGGGGTTGCGCGCCTGGCGTTCTGCTATGGACCTTCGGTGAGACGGAGCCAAGAGGGGCGCGTGGAGGCGCTGCGTGGTTGTTTGGTGGGAATACGGCCAGTAGGGCACAGCGTGTTTGCTGAACGCAGGAAATGTGGCTGTTTGATGGGAACGTGGCCCTTGGGGCATCACGTGGTGGCTGATTGCGGGCAGTGGGGCATACCGGGTTGAGTTGCGGTGAAGCGGCGGGTGTGGCAGAAAGATTCCGGGTATCAAAATAGCATCTCTGAGGAATGGGAGGTATTTGCCAGAGCTTGGGGGTTTGCAAATACTGGGGGCGTGGCGAAAGCTGCGGGGGACTCTGTATTATTGCACTCGGCCCGGCAGCCGACAGAACGGTTGCGCGGCGTTCGCGTGTGCCTCTCGCAGCTGCCTAGGCACTCAGTCTGGCTGCCTGACTCCCCTGGCCGTGTGGGCAACGTTCGCCACGGCCTGAGCGCAATAGCGCTCGACCTTTTCGAAGACCGCAGTCAGTCTTGCTGTTTTCTGAGCTGCTTTCCTTGCCGTTCAAGACCAGCACTGCAAGTGCGGACGTGCTGCTTCCAAAGTGACCAACTTTCGTCGCTGCGCAGCCTCGTCGGGGCGGAAAGAAGCATCTTTCTTGTATTGCATCTCTACGCTGTGGACAACGCTGCCCTGACCCGTGGAGCCGACCTATGCTCTGACATCGTTGACCTTTGGGGAGTGGCTGCGAGCGGTTGTGGCCCTTTGAGCGGCAGCTGTGAGAGGTTCCACAAGTGCATTTGCATGGTTGACGGTCAATTGGATGTTTGCCGCCCGTATGAAGCTTCCCTTGTCAGTATGTCCCTTCCCATGTATTACCATCGATTATCACTTCTAGGCATCGAACTTCCATAGATCGTACATTTAGTTTGTATTCTCCTTAGATTCCAATGAACCAATCACCGACTCTGCTTTGCTCAGGCAAAATAGGAAGCTGACGGCTACCTCATTGCCTTGTTCTGTAAAAAATCATGATGATGATGACAAGCAGTTCTTCCTCATGAAGAGTCATTTCGCACAAGGGGCAAAGCTTGTTCGTTCAGTGCACCCTCGGCTGGCGTGGTGCTGAGGCTGTCGACGTGGCTCAGCTGCCAGTTCAGGGGTGATTCGACTGCACTGTCTCGGGGGATGACGGCCAGAATGGACCGCCGCCCTTTGCAGGGCGTTAATGAACGGACTGGATGTAAGGGACAGAAATCCTGTCGTCCATTTTCTCGGCTGTAAACGTTGCCGTGGACTCGAATCTACGGTCCCCGTTCAGGGGTCGGCACCCCTCGACTCTGCTTGCCTTCTCAATGTACGATGTGTGTATCGTATTCCGGACATTATGTACTACGTATGTATCGCGTGGTTGGGGGTTGCTGGCCAGTCGTCAGGTGGCGAAATGTGCGGCCGAAACGACAAGGCTGAAGGGCATCACTGGCGCGTGTGGCCTGGCCAATGTACTGGAGTCCTGTCAGGACTCCAGTACATTGGCCAGGCCACACGCGCCAGTCAGTGACTGGACATTAACTTCATGGCATTGTATTTTCATGGCCTTTATGACTTCGCGTCAGGAAATGAAGGGTATTGGATCGCAAGTACATTCTGGCAATGCGTTGTGAAAGCATTACGAAATGCATTGCGTATTTCCAGACGTTATCATGTGCTGGACGTTAACTGTAGTCCTGGAATTACCCTATTAC